TTTGACAGTCATTTAGAGTCTGATTAGTTTAAATGTTGTAATTTATTGCACTGACCTTTGTCACCAAGCCGTTTTACCCAAATAAACATATTGCTGGTGTTTTAGCTACAGCAGAGAAGCAGCTCTATGTTTTCTCCTCCGTCAGACACAGATGAAGCTGAATTGTTAGAATTCAGATCATGGAAGCAGCTCTATGATGGAGAGACTGAAGGAAGATCCTCCATAGAACAAAAAACTCATTAGTAATTTTGAGGAAATAAACTTGATTATAGTTATTTTATAAACACTACAAAAATTGTCATTACTAGTTTTTGTTCTGTTGTTGCCAGTTTGTTACAGAAACCAACGTGTAGAGTGTTGAATATTAAACATCTGTATCAGACAGAAAAAAATCTGATTTAAAATAGATAAATTTGCACAATGWACAAGATGTGTCTGTAATGTCACATTATTAGGACAGCTGCTCATTCCGTGCACCGGACAAGGTGCCCTCTTTTTCCYTTTGATCACCTGCCCCCAAAAATGTCTGTGCACGCTACTGACTGCCTGAAATTTCAATATTCATCAYCATTCTTCTTTAGAACACAAAAACTCTTTACGACTTATGTTTTGTAATAATTTAAACTGACAAAATGCAGTTGTTTGGATAAATGAACAGCTTAATGAAGTGTGAAGAGAACCAGGACTGAAAAGTAMAGAACTGTTGCAGCGGCTCATTTAGGACACTGAGTCACACACGAGTCTGCTACTAACTGAGAAAAGCTCCACTCAGAGACCTGGTTTCAAAAAGTGCCGTGTCAGAGACTCCAGTCACCAGTGATGTGGAAACGAGAAGCTGGATCACAACAAAAATGTTTCAATGAAAACCAGCTCCATGTTAACAGTCTCTAAACTTCAAATAAACTGTTGTGCAAAAATCAAAAAGAAAAAAATAAGTAGGTRCTCTGGATGGGTTCTTCTTTAGTGAAACCGAGGAGAGACGAAACATTTCACTAAAGAACCCATCCAGAGGACCTACTTATTTTTTTCTTTTTGATTTTTTCTACCTGGATTACTGAGATGCARCAGGACATGTTGTTCAAAAACTATACAATATWTTGAAAAAAATCCTGAACTGTACGRCATTACAGTGTCTGTGTTACACATATCACGTTTTATTTGTTTGCTGGGTTTCATGTAAGAGCTATGAAAAGTTTAAGACCATTAGGGCTGCAACTAACGATTATTTTAATAATCGATTAATCTGTCGATTATTTTTTTTGATTAATCGGCCAAATCATTAAAACACTTAAATAAATATGAGTAGATAAAAATTAATTTAGTTATTGTATAAATTAGGGATGCAAGTTATCGATTAATGTGAAGTTGTCTGAAGTTGATTTATCTTATAGATTGACTAACGATTAATTGATAAGCAGCCATTTTCTTAAAAACCAATGTTTTCTATTGAATCAAGAGGGTAAAATGTATGG